GGATTTCTCAGTTCAGCTGCTGCATGACATCAAGGAGCCAGAAAAAGCTTCTCAAACACATTAACTGCGATTTCGGTCTTCGCCCCAAACCACAACCAAACAGAATAATGTCCCTGTTTTTGTCATGACTTGCCATAACTTCTTAATTATTGCTATTTTTAGGGCCTCTGACCAAAAAGGACATATGACTGGTCATCTGATGCTGTCACTATGTTTCAAATAACATCTCCAATGTTTGAGCAATTACTGTTTCACACTTTGAGATAAGTCCTCATGCTCTTCTCCCTGTCCTCTTGAGGGTTTAATTTAAATCCTGTTTTGTTTTTGTTTCACATAAAAATGACTAAGGCATCATGGGTGTTGGTCTCTTTTGACCTATTAGCTTTGTATGCTGGGATATTCTGAGAAGTGTTAATATCCTGTTAAATCCTCCTCTTCCCTTGCCCCCTTTATTTGCCTGACGCCCTTCTTTTTCTTTTCACTCTCCATTCTTATTACACACACACATACCTACACTCACTGCAGCCTCCCAAACCATGGCACATAGAGGACACATGCGTGAGACCAGCAGGGTCATCGAGAAGTAAATATTCAGACAATAAAATGCAAAAAACAGGATCGACTCACGAACTGAGGGTACAAGTCTAGCACGTATAAGAAGCACACGTGGAGCAGAAGTATGACAGTTTAACGATGTGAACTTAAACAGATACAAGCAAGTTAATTAACCATTAACAGAGATTAAGTCTATACTAAAATGCTTTCTTCATTGTTTTGTATATCTATGCCAGATGATATAGGGTGCCCATTTATGCAGCAGGTTATGCTGTATGTTTTGTTGGCTGGTTTCACTGGAAAAAAACATGCCATCATTATAAAAAACTAGATGTTTGGTGCTTATTCAGAGAACTTCATCAGGAAACTAAGTCATTTGCCTAGAGCTTAGAAAAGGGCTAATGTCATGACTTTAAAAAAAAGGTTGTTTTTAACTTGCTTGTCGGAATTGAACAAAAAATCTTTGATCTTTTATTATGTCTGTAAATATGGGGCAAAAGCCTAAAGCCTGTAAGGCAAGTTTAGCATAATGACTGGAGGGAAACAGTTATACTACTACTATCATCTCTTAAGTTTATTAAATCACATCGTATGCCGATACGAAGATTTTCTCATGTTTGGGAGAACAAAGTTTGTTCCAAATTGTTTCTGTTTTCCACTCGCTGTGCAAAGCTATAGCTGACAGTCTGCTGGATGTACCTTCATATTTAGACACACACTGCTGGCACAAGAAAAGGAAAGTGTTTCTCACATAATGTCCCAAAACTAAAAGATGAAAAGGATTGCTGCTCTGCTGTGGGTCTAAGTAGCACTTGGTCCTGGGCGGACTAAATGTTTGAGGGACAATGAGGCCATGCATGGAGACAGGAGCGCTCGTGTGCCTGTAAAGCCAGTGGAACTTCCACGTGTGGAGTTACTTTTGTGGTGGGTTTGTGGAGAAAGCCTCAGACAAAATGGATTGAAACGCATCACACGCAAACAGTGTGGGCCTGGCTAGCCAGGCTGTGAATGGTGGACTTCTGAATGGATGGCTCAGGGAGTCTGCACATTTTTAACATCCTTCCAGGACAAGCTTTTACATGCATTTTGAATTTTGAGCACATTTTAGCTTCATGCAAAAACATTTTCCACCAGGTTAAATGAGCAACAGTCTGATTATCACACAATAAATCAGTTTACTGCAGTTTGCAGACGTTTCAGTGACTGCACTGCTGGAGTTCAAGTGAGGTTGTCCGAGGAAAACCAACATTCCTCAACCCCTCTAACCGGGTCCAATTCGTTACTTGACACTTTCCAAAAAAGACTTATTTAATTCATGGTCCCATTTTTGTTTCGCTCTCTCTATCATTGTCGTTTTATTGATCATATTTTCCCCTTCTTTCCAGCTTTGTGTGCTTGAAAGTGTGTGTATATAAGTGTATAAGTAACTAGGCATGTGTAACTTGAAATTAGCCTCTTGCTTTGGTTTGAATGGCATTTTAACAAACGCTTCTAAATATATCATGGTATCAGGCTGAAGTTTGAGCAATTTCACTCCCTGTGGCTTTCTCCTCTTTCCTTCCCTCCCTACTTCTCTCCCTCTTCATCTCTATCGACCCCTTGCCCTTCAGCCCTGTGTTGTTTTTTCTAATGAGTGTTTTTTTTGTAAACACTTTATCTTTTTACTTCATCCCTGAAATTATGCTTCGGCAGCCTGTCATATTTTTTTGTTTTTGTTTGTATAAGTCACAGCTTGGTGTTGGCTGGATATTATGGCACAACAGACGTGTGTGTGCGTGCGTGCGTGCGTGCGTGCGTGCGTGCGTGCGTGCGTGCGTGCGTGCGTGCGTGCGTGCGTGCGTGTGCGTGCGTGCGTGTGTGCGTGTCACCTGTATACATACATATCAATAACATAGGTGATGGACAACAAAGTGATTAAGCATATTCATCCCCACAGACTTAGAGTACACTTACTGTAACCTTGGATCAATGTATAGGCACGTGTGTGTGTGTGTGTGTGTGTGTGTGTGTGTCTTTTTGTGTGAGTACGTGTGTGGATCACACATAGGAAGGGAGTGACTGGGTTTGAGTTAAGAGATGTTGAATTGCTTGATAATTAATGTTTTAGACACCATATTTTGCTGTGTGGTCAAAGGTGAAGAGGTGTATACACACACACACACACACACACACACACACACACACACACACACACACACACACACACACACACACACACACACACACACACTCACAAACTGTGATAGAAGGGGCATGTTCTAAGGACGTGTCCGGGGTGTGTCTGTGGTCACAGTGACAGTATAAGACTCAGTCAGGTACACTAAGTTCTTCATTCAGCTACACAGACTTCACTGTTTGTGTCACTCATCACATCGAGTTGCAGTTTGGTGTTAAATCTGTCTCATAGTCAGATCTTTCCTCAATTACAGATTTATTATTTTTATTTTGTATTTTTTAAATCCAGTAGTCGTTTCTTTATTTCTCTGATTAGCTCCAGACACGACTTCTATCAATTTTTGTGTGTACTGTTTTAAACGGCTGCTGAAAAGTACGAGCATATTTGAGTTTGGTCTTGACTCAGCATTTGTAGCAGCTCACACAGCATCTTCACTGAGTTGCCACGGCAACTGGGTCAGTCAACTGCAAGTCTGAGGTAGGTATGCTGCTGTGTTTCTCCCCTTTCCTCATAGATTTCCGTATTTTATTTTCTTCATCTCACTTTCTACTTTTGTCGACTTATGACAAACTCATTTTTCTGTGAACATCTGTTCTTTCTCTTCTCTCCTTTTTTGTCACACATCTTCCAAATGCCTCTTGCGTTTACTTAAGTGGGACTGTTTGACAAGCATATTTGGTGCCAACCTTTTTTGTCAGAAACATTTCTTCTGCTGGAGAAGAAACAGACAAATAAGAAAAAAAAACGTTCCTCAGATTTTTGGTATATTTAGCTCTCTGTTTTTATTATATCAACAAGGACTGACGCGATGCAGGTGAACTCACAGTGATGATTGTGTGACTGCCTTGTCTATAATTTTGAATGTAAAATCTCCACCAGAAATAACCTGCTGTGTGGTTACACATAGGCCAGATCATGGTCCCTCTGATTATTCAAAAACCCTGTCATTGTGGCCACAGATAGAAGCAAACGGTGTGCAACAAACTTCAGCGTTTTATTTGACAGTTTAAGTTTGAGTGATAATAATTTTGAATTATTTTGACTGCAACACATTGTTTAAAAACTCTACTAATACTTTTAAAGGATCCTGGCTGGTCAGTCTTGATGATAATGCATTTTCTTGTATCATTTCTATTTGGCTGATATATGTGTCTCACTTGTTATCACATGTTAAATGAATGGGGTCAAACAAACCTGAAGTTTAGCTCCATATTCAGAACAACTGGTGAGAACTCAGTGACCCGTTCGTTGTCACATGAATTTAGCCTAAACCCTCTGCTTGTTGGCTGCTATAAACTGACCTGAGAATTTCTCATCGACATGTGACCCCCGGTTAGATTTCATCTCATTCTATAGAGTTATATAGAGCCCCAGTGAAGGACACAGATAAATGCTTCGCCCAACACATGTTGTCTGCATGTGATACAACATATATATGTAGGTGTGTGCACTCTAATGCTATTTAAGAAAAATTCTTGTCACACTTTTCGGAGATTGATCCAACTAACTTTAGATATGACACCATTATTTTGCTGTGACACAATCTTGTAGCACACATATGTGAACACGTGACCCCTGATTGGTTAGGCTGTTTGTTGAACACATTTATCATCCTCAAAAATGTGCTCTTTTAAATAAAACCTGAATCATCTCTTTATTTTTGTGCAGTTTCGATTACAACACTCCTTAAAACTGTCTCCTACAAACCTAAATGTGGGTGAATTCAGCATCATGGAGCTAATTTCTATGTGTTTCCAAATGAATATGTTGCAGCATGAATTATTGTGAGTACCTGAGGCCCAGGAATAGCCTCAGAAAAGCCCCGGTTCATTTACTCCTGTGCAAGAAAAGAACTTGACTCATGTAAAATGCTATTTACAGCAATTCTCAACAGCTCCTTACCTTTCGGTCACAGGAACAAACATGCTCTGAATAAGTCACACAATGACTCAGGTGTTTTTCACCATGTAAGCATGTGTAGCTTTGTGTTACTGCAAATGCTTATGTGTGTGTGTTTCGAGGAGTGAAAACATTTCATTTCTCAAGTGTTGTAATGTCATCAATTAGGTCGGGATACAAACATATGTCATGTTGTAATGTGGCAGGTCAGTGTCAGTGGTCAACAAGTTGTGTTTGCAAAAAGCTTAGGCGTTGTGTTGACCTTAGGGAATAGTGTGAATTGTCTTGTGAAGTGTTTGTGCACATGACCCGAACATGTTGAGTGATTGACCCTTTTCCTGCCCTTGTTTGTGTCTCCTGTCTCCTTTAGATCATATGTTCATAGAAGAATACATTGAAGAAGATGAGGAACCACCTTTGCTGCTCAGCTCTCGTCCTTCTTACGGTAAATATGTGCATGTGCTTATTCCTGCGTATGTGTATTTATTCAAAAGAAACACTTGAAATGAGCGCAACACTCTTTGCATTTTACATCATTTTGTGACTTTATATCATGATTTATTGAGTGTGTGTGCAACCAGTTCTGCAAACCTACGACCTGACTCATGAGATTGTGTGTGTATGTGTCTGCGTGTGTCTTCCAGGTGTTTAGCTGTGGTGGGACTGCAGCAGTGCGGTGTCGGTGGGGGGAAGGGTGTGTGTGTCTGCAATGCCCTGCTGGTCAGGAGCCTACCAAGGTGAGACTAAGACTCATAACAATAAATGTCTTGTTGGGATTTCTTTTTAGAACATTATATCTTTATCTTTCTTTTTTTGTGATTTTATGTTCCTTTTTTTTTTTTTTACATGTTTGTCCCTTTAAAAACCTAAACTTGCATCTTGCAAACAAGTGTCCCTTCCTACTAATACCTTTAAAATGCACTTGTTTCAGATATAGCGGCACTCCTTATAAGGTAAAATTGAGAGCTTTAAGAAGTATTGCAAGATGTGCAATTGACTCCTGACATAGTCAGCCACAGCCAAATTCTGAGTCCAAGGCTCTTCTCGGAATCTAAACAAATAACTACACAATCCCCAAAACTTAGTGGAAACAGCAAAAAACGGTGTGAATGTATTCGCAGTAACAACATAAAGGCTTAAGTTAGAAGTTTTAGTGATTAACCATGGGAAAAAAAGTTTATTCCCACCATTTTACTGCTTCCAAAGCCCCTGGCCCGAGATACAGAACTGAGAATTCAGCTCGTCTCTAACCTTATAATTTATGTTTAGTCACCACTGTCAACATAAATCAAGCTATTCATTGTTTAGAGATGGGAAATATTTATGACACTGTTTTATTTGAACCAAGGGGGAATTTTTGTCAAGGTGTGTCATGTTTCTTTTCTGTTACAGTTTGTATTCATGAAGTTGTTGTAGATCACAAACTGTCACTGTTACAACAAAACTGCCATTCATTTATATTTACCTTAGTTGTCTATGTACGTTTTTATGTGTAAGTATAAAGAGTGTATCATTGTTTGATTACAGTTAACACAGACACAGGACTGCAATTAAGAGCTGCCTGTTCTTTGAACTGTACTACTGTGTCACTAACACTTTGACAGCACCAAAGGAATTCTTCAGTTTGTCCCCCCCCCCTCACTTTTTTTTTTAGCCTCTTTTGTAAGTTTCAGTATCTTCTTTCTTTCCAGGCTTGTGAGCAGATTCAAAGTCCTGCAGAGGAAGTGCAATGCCGATTGTGCCCGACTGGAAGCTTTTCCGAAACGCTCGACTCTGAACTTTGCCGCCCACACGCCTCCTGTGAGATCCTCGGCCGTGAGGTTGCGACCCCTGGCACTGCGACCTCTGATGCCCTCTGTGGAGACTGTCTGCCTGGGTGAGAAAAGCCTGTGTGACTGTCAGTTTGTCTCTGACAGTGTTTGTCCTACCTGACTGGCAGTTAATCCACCCATAGTTACTGGAAAGTCTGGGCTTGACGTAATAAGTGCTTTGCCTAAACATGTAAACTCGTAAACCTTAATTTGTATCACAATTAAGAACTTTAATTTTCTCGGTGTGGAAAAAGAAGAAACGCACATACACACGGCATCATTCACCACAATAGGCAGGCATCGGAAAAAAATATACCACAGGATAAAACTAAAACTTCTATAATTGTAAAATAGTCTCCTTCTTTATCCCCCCTCTCTAACCATAAACTATGCTCTTTTCTTTTTTCAGGTTTCATTCCACCGCCACAGGGCAAGTTTCCACACAAAGTCCCTGTGTGAAAAGTAAGCATGATGCTGCAGCACATCACTTGCTAGCCTTTTCACATCTTCTCTATCATACTTTTTGCATCTTCAAATACTTATATTTATATGTGTGTATGTTTGTGATTAGTACAAATAACTGGAAACTAAATAAATTGATTAATTCGAGGAACAAAGAGGTGATGAGAGCTCAGTGTCACTTGTATCACTTTTTGTTTTTAGTTGTAATGGCTTAGATATTTTCCATGACAAATACATTTTATTCTCTTTCTCTCCGTTACATTGGGAGCTTGTGGCTTCAGCCAGGATGCTGTTTTTTTGCTTTGAAAAGCACAAGTCTGAATAGAGAACACAATCTATGTCATTCATTTGATCAGGAGCTATGCCCATTATGCAAAGTGACGGCTCTGAAATAAATTATCTTGAGCATTTCTTCAAAATATTTTTGATTTCCTCGCTGATGGTCCATATTCATGTTCGTCCTGCTTTCTTTTTCTTGTCCTTCCCCTTTTCTCTCAGCACCTTTGCATGTCAGAACGGTCCGCACAGTAGGTAAGGGTCCGTCCAGCGCTGCAGGAGGGTCCGTCAATAGCACAGCGGTTCGCACCACTGAAGAGAAGACAGCAGAGTATGCCGTGTTTGCTTTGGTGCCCATCTTCTGTGTGATGGGCCTGTTGGGCATCCTCATCTGCAACATCCTGAAGAAGAAGGGATACCGCTGCAGCGCTGACAAGGAGGGGGGTGATGAAGAAACTCCGACACCACAGAAAGAAGGTGAGAGGTTTGAAACGAGACATTGGACTAGAGAAAATCAAAACAAAAAAAAAGGAGGGTGATTACAGGAACGAGCATTTTTTGTTCCATTTGTTGTCACTTCAGCCCTTAAAAATGCAATAGCACACTCGCACACTCGTATGCACACAGTGTGGTCGACATGGTAAAGCCAAGCCAAGCCATAAAGGGCAGTGTCTTTGTGTGCAGCCACAGTGCATGCATCTCTGAGACGTGACTGCACGCAGCCCTACATGAGAGGCTTTTTTTTTTTTTCTCTCTCTCTTTCAACTTTGACCTTTCTGGGGTCTGGGTTCTGTGTTTTTCTAAGCACATGCTGTTATTCTTGTAGTTTTCCGATTTGAAAAGGGGAAAAAAAGCATTCCCATCAACTCTCTCGCCCTGCTGACATGAGAGACAAACCGCCCTGTTAAAACACAGAGGGAGAGGACAAAGAGGGAGGAAGACAGTCTGGTTTTTAACTAAAAGAGTTATAAATGTCAGTCAATTGAAACTGAAGGAATTAGACGGGGGAAGGATAGAGAGGGATTGAGGAAAAGATCAAGTGTTTGGTCACCACACCCGTTTTCTGTGTGTGCACAGTCCAAATGACTTCTCTTGTGCTCTGTGATGCAGTTAAGTTGTATAGTCCTGGAGGACTCTTCATAGACCCGAGTACTTCAACCTTTGACCCAAATGAAAATCATTTTCTGTCTCTTTGAATCAATGAATCTGTCCCCTGACGTTTTTGTCGCACATGGTTTTTGTCGTAATGATGAGTCAAACACTTTGTATGCTTTCAGTACACAGACCTCTGAGTGTACTCATAGTTCCTTTATGCCACTTTGTCTTTCGTACACTTTACTTATCTGGGTCTCAGGTAAAACCCTCACGTTACATTTGATATGTTATCTACTGTAGCCTAACTAATAGAAGCTTTTCAACAGTGGGACAGGAGTGTGAACTTTCCTGGTTCATTGCCACATAGAACTACAACACATTTTTAACACTTTGTCTTCAGAGTTGACAGTTGAACAAACTCAGGGTTCATTCAAGTAAATGTTGCATACTTACTTGTGTGTCAGCTTGGTTGCCTCTTGCTAGTTGACATAGCTGAAAGCTAGTTTGTTTGGGAGCTAATGAGGCATAGAAGTATTTGTCCTTTGTAAAGAGTCAGATAAGATGACTGATACCACTTTTTATATCTTATCATTCAACATTGAGCTTCCGCTAGTAGCTTAGCTTAGCTTACACTGGGGATACAGCTTGCCTGGCTCTTGGTTGAGTGCTTACTTGCCTTACTACCATAACCTTAAAAAGTCTCTTGTTAGCATTTTAGTTGTTGAATAATCAGTAGTGTTGACAACTGTTAAACAGTGCCAGGCTGACTTTATCTGTTTCCCCCAGCTAAAAGTCCTTAAGCTATGCTATGCTAACTCATTTCTGGTTTAAACTTAATATTTCACAGACAAATCTGAAATAAGTATCAATCTTATCATTATTCTGTGCGCATTAGGCAAATAAATGTATGTCAAAATGCATATTTGCTTTAAACTAAGCCTCCATTTACTCAAAAGACCATCATGTAAAAACAATCGTAAGATTGCATAAACTTTATTAATCCTGCTAGGGTAAATTCAATTTTACACTCTGTTGTTGAGCATGCTACACACACATATTCTAAAATACACACACATGCACAAACAGGATAATCTGGACATAGAGTAATGGAGAGTTGTCAGAGTGAGGGGGGGGCTGCTCCTGACCTGGTCGGGGTTTCCTGAATTTTATGACTTAAACACACTAGTCACCTAACGAGCCCTGTACTTGCCCTGTTTGAAAGTGTAAACCTGTGCAGCTACTGCTATTAAGTGTGTAAGCATGAACAGATTTCAAGGCTAATCTGGCTTTTCCGTGCTACTAGGCTCAGAGGAGAGCTGTGCTAGAAAGCCATACGTTTTCTTTTTTTTTCCAGGCTTCATGACACGTCAGGGCACATCTGTCACCTCCGCAAAGACTGTTTTTGTCAGCATGTCAACTAACTGTTTATGCTGACAAAACACCTGCTGCTTTTGACAACTTGCTGTATCTGACACGAGTATTAAAAGAATGAATTAGGCAGTAACATTTTTACAGACACAGATAATTCAAATAATTATTTGTTTGACTCACTTAAAAACCCTTAACATCAAAGGTTTCTGCTGCAAAAGGTGAAGGTTAAAGGTCAGGTTAAAGGGCATTTTAATCATGATCATAAATGTCCGTCCTGGAAAGTGTATTTTGATGTTTTAATTCCTTATTTAAAGCTTCCAGTGCATTAACATTTCAGCAACCAGTTTTCAATTAAAACTTTTTTTTTTTTTACCTCTTGGAGCATGAGCCAAACACTACAGCTTTCCTACTGTGTCACTAAGTCTTTAGAGCACCTGCTGCAAAGCCAGTTTAGTGGATTAAGAGGAGGTGATCCAGGGACAGCAGATCTGCTAAAAGACTGCACATATCATGGTGATGATTTTATGATGTTTGAGTTCAACATCTGCTCTTATAGCAGATATATACCTGAAACATCAAATGCCCTGCAGAAAGAAGAATCGATTTAAGGCATTTGGGGACACACACGTGAAATCACACAGCAATAGTTTCTCTGTCTGCCTTTTATTTCCAGCGTGCCTCGGTCGTTTCCATCAGAACACGTTGTTGTGAAACTTAAAACGTCCCTGCACCCTAAGGGAAACTCCTCAAGCCTAACCCCTCTCGCAGTTCTCTCTGTCTTTAAACTCTCCATTCATCTGATTTTCTCAGTTCCCTTGGACCTCCTCCCTTCCCTGCCTGAACATGACACTAACCATCCATCTCTCCTTTCCCAGCCACATCAATAATTCAATCGGATCCTTACCTCATGGTTCATGTCTCCTCTTTCTTTCTCCTGTCCCCATGTGTTCTCTTACTCCCATGGTTACTCTCTGTTGTTTTTTTTCTATGCACAAGGACAAAAAAAAAAAAAAAACAGACATTAATAAAAACTAATATTTGAATATGCAGATTAGATTTGCATAATAACTTTGAATAATCTATAGGTACTAATTAGGGTAACAACCGTCACAAGCAAAAGCAAAATGAAAAAGGTTAAAGGAAAACTCTCAGCCTCTGCTCCCCTCTCTCTCTCTCTCTCTCTCTCTCTCTCTTTTTCTCTTTCTCTCCTTCTGAACAACATAGGGGACAGATGCTGCAGTGGTGCAATGATAAGCTGCAAGTCAGTGTGAGGGAGACAGATATATAACAAGACGTGGGAGTGCAAGCAAGGTGCCTAGTAAAGTTACCAACGACAAAAGACAGTGGGTGATGAAAGGAAGATAGGTGGAACAAGCAGGGAGAAAATCAAGAGGTGTAATTTGCTGCATGGGAAAATTACCTCCCTCTTTCCTTCTCAGTGTATTGTAACTTCCCCTGTTGCGGTGTGCTGTCTGTGAGTCAGCTGTAGTCCTCACTTGGCTGAGGTCAAAGACGAACTTCTTACTCAAGCACTTTTCTGATCATCTCCATTCAGGGGGAACACCCATGGGGTTGAATTGCAGCAAGGCCACGCTTAGCTTGGCAGGGCTTAAAGTTAGACAGACAGAGAAAAGTTTGACTGAGGAAAGAAGGACAAACGCTGGGTCCATAATGAGGGAAGAGTCGTGAGCTGGAATGAACTCTGCAGTTTTGTGTTTATGAAGCAGGAATCTTGCTATGGTGTCAAAAATGGCAAAGTTAAAGGTAACATGGAGTTGTTGTAGTTTTAGCCGAATTAGCTCCACTGGGTATCTGCATTAAAGGCTATCAGAGGCTGGAAGGTCAAATTGGCCCAAGAAAAACTCTGAAGACAAAGTGAGGGACAGTTGACTTCATGTGACTGACATTGAAACACATGCGTCTGGCTTTGTAAAGGGAATTAATAGCAGATGGGTGTCACACTGTGAAATGGATGCCGTTATCCTCGCGTAGCTCCAGCCACAGTGGAGACGGCGCTATTGTCGTGGCCGAGCAGCCTGACTCTGCTTATAAAAGAAACATAGAAATCCACACACACAGCAGCAAACAAATGCATCCATAGAGTTATATTTTGCTCTGAAACACAGAGATATACACACAGTATTGAGGGGGGTCTGGTATATCACACACACACACACACACACACACACACACACACACACACACACACACACACACACACACACGCATAAAGCCCTGTGTGCTTAAACAGCACTGAATGGAGCGTGAACGCTGAGTGAGCTATTCTGGACCCCCGGCGCCCTTGTTACTTTCCTCTCAGCTGCTTCACTGTGCTCTTCTATTATGGGATGGTTGGGTGAGTTGCCATGGAGGCATATCTATTCTTTGCTGTTCAGTCATCCACATCCATCCTTATCAGTCCCATCGTGCACTGGGGCACCATATACCAGCCTCGACATGCACTGCATGAACTATGCTCACTCGCTCTCTGACAGCTGAGAGTGAAGCTGGCCGTATAGAGTGGAATCATACTTTAGATTTAATAAAATGACCTTAAAATCTACAAAAATAGTTATATCAAAGTTAATATTTAAATGTAGGTGTGGTTCTGATATGCATTTATAAAAGCAAGTATATTTATTTGCTCTTTTAATGATATAGTTTGATGAATTAATCACTTACAAGCTTTTTCAAGTAACTTTAATTGCACTTAAATGTTTTCATCAACAGAATGAAGTCTCAGTTGCCATGGAAATGGCAAAGTTATCATGTGACCATATGGTATTGAGACATATGTGTGCTTAATGATGTGCTACAAAGAAGAAAAAACTTTTTCCAGCTACAAAAAAAAAATCATAGTAAACATACTAAGATTTCCTTACCTGTTATGATATGTGCATGTCACATAGTTCTGTATGTGTGTTGTTAAATTTGATGTAATTACACAAAGATAGAGTCCAGGATCAGGAACCTGAAATGCAGTAATAGTGCTTATTCTTTATGTTGGTTGACAGAGTGTAATGTTTCCCATCTTTGTCTTTTTTTCTTGCTTTAGGTAACAGTTTCCCCTACATTTCTGATGACCTTAACGAAGACACCATCAGCGTGCTGGTTCGCCTTATTACTGAGAAGAAAGGTATGTGCAGAGAAGTCACTTCTGAGCTGGCGGTCAGACAGCGAGTTCATGTCTTGTGGCTTTAGAGGTGAACATAGCGTCGTCATTGTACGTCATCTATACTACTGCAGACCAAGACTGTACCCTCCATGGTATATCCATGTGTTGTTAGAGGAGGATAATTAAACCCCAGTGAACCACTGCAAACACAGCAGAAAGTGAGAAGAGACAGGATATGTTCTTATAAAGTTGTCACTTTGGAGAGATGAGTATTCAAAAGATGAGAAAAGCTAAATGTTTCCAATCATCAACCAATGAGCAGACAACATTTAAATAAAACTTCAGGGTCTAAAACCTCTGTCCTGCAGACAGGGATAGTTTAACTACTCTGAGTTACAGTATTGACTAATACAATAGTTTACATTAATGATGAAGTCTCATCTGAAAGTTTGTCTGTGTGTTTCTTATAGAAAATGCTGCTGCACTGGAAGAACTGCTGCTGGAGTATGAGAGCAAAGAGCTGGCCAAGAGCAAGAGCTCGTCAATCAAGTATGTAACCACTTATACACACGCAAACACAATTACACATGCTCAAATAATGTCATTTTTATTATAAAAGTAATTGTATTTATAATGAAACAATGTTTTTAGTCTACATAATCATGACAACATGTAATTATTACACTTATTTAATCCTACCTGCAACTTTTATAATCTTCCAAAACAGGAAAATGTACAGTAGGCCACATTTCCTCAGTCGAGCTCCTCAGTTGGCTGACTCCTGGCAGTGACTCAGTCCTGCATGTCAGAAGTGTAGATCTCACACAGCTGTAACCACTGTCTCCTGCCTCATGAGTCCTGAAACCCCCAGCCTGTTACTAGGCTTATTGGCTGTCACATAGCTAGAAGTCACAAGATTTACATGACCAAGCTAATTGTGGTTTTCTAACTTTGGTTTACTCTGTGGCCGTTGAAATTGCTCAAGCAGTCAGAAGCAAATCTAACAAGTCCAGCAACATGCTGCTGCGTGCCACAGTCTGCACCGCTGCGATTAGACTTTTTCCTCTGCTCTTAACTATCAGCACTTTTCTCAAAGTTTGAATGATCTTAAGTGGACCCTGTGCACTCCAACATTTATGCATAATCTACATTCGTAAAAGAGTCAGAGGCTTCTGCTGCTCCATGAGCTGCTGTAACATGTAAGCTTTAGATTCAAGAACATTCTGACACGCATGCCACACACACACATGCACAGAAAAATCTGGAAAGCTTTCAGTTCCTGTGTGTGTTTTTGTGTGTGGGTGTCTGTGTGTGTATGGTGGGATGTTCTTGGGTTACAAAAGGTCACCACTAGTATAATATGGGAACACACACACACACACACACACACACACACAGCTCCGTTCATCTCTTTAGAATTGCCTTTATCTGCACAAAAGAACAATGGAAAACAAAAAAGAGTGCTGAGCAAATACACACAGTGCACAGTTATAAAATATAAACCTTTATATATGTAAAAAGCCATCTCTTTTTTTGTCAGTTCATAACAAACAAATGAGATGTTTTGACATTTTTGGGGCTTTTTCAAGGTCCCAAAGGACTCTCATTCTAACTTTGTGCTAGCCACACAGACGTACATTAAACAGCATTCTAGTGAAGTAATATGTCACAGCATCATGAGCAATGTTGATGAGTTCAGATTGACATATTATTTCACACTGGATAAAGATGAGAAAACAATGTTTGATTTTGCGACCGAGTCCACTCACTGTTTAATAAATGGTAAATTAGATATAAAACTATCGTGTTTTCAAAAACATATCTAATAAGTTCCCCGTCCCTCTCCTGCTACTCATCCCAGGTTCCCGATGCTGTCTCCCCTCTCTACCTTCCGCTCCCTCCCCAGACTCTGCCCCCATCAGTCCCACCTCCACACCATCTCCGGCCTCTCCGGCTTGGCCCCCAAACACGGCTACCGCTGCACCCGCTGCGCCCAGAGAAAGTGGCCCGCAGTCCTCATACCTCCTCTGGATTCCCTCAAAGACCCCCTGAAGCCCCCTCAGACCTTCATCCTGCCCTCCTTGGACACCTCCGCTGACCAGCAGAAGAGACCCCTGCTGGATGGGGTGTTCGCCGATACCCACCACACACAAGCTGCTGTGCCAAATACTATGCAGGAGAAAGTGGAGAAGAGTGAAGTGAAGGAGAGGAAGGAGGGAGAGCTGACTGTGGTGAATGTGGGGAGGTGAGAGGCTGACACAAAACAGAAGTTCCACATTGGAACCTGCAATGCAAATGTATTAATGTTTGGCAATTAACTCTTGCCACTTTCTACTCGTCCTTTGTTATCTGCATGTTACATTAATCACATCTTTTTCTCAACCCACAGATTTCAAGTCGCTCAGATCCCTGAGCAGAAGCCAGTCCCTGCTGAAACCAAAAGATCCTCTCAGGAGCAGAGACACTCGCTGTTCGGAAGCAAATCCTTCTGCTCGTCTTCATTTTCTGCCATCAGGAGGTACGTCAACGCTACACACAGTCATACTCTTTCTGCTCTCACTCTGTCCTTCTATTTCTCCATCACTGCCCAATCTTA